ACGACGCTGGGGAACCCATGTGGAAAAGGAGCTGTGGCCTCTTAATGTGGCTCCAACACACTCTGGAGTCTAAGCCCAAGACGCAGGGCTCTGACTGAACTGCCTGTGGTCCCGTGCACTCAGCGCCAAGGCACAGCACTGCCTTCAATACGAAATGTGCTGAGCACTGGGCCTTCGACCAGCACCCAACAGGAGGCAGAGAGGGTCCAGCCGTGGACCAGCCCCAATTGTCACGTGTCCAGTACATCTTGAAACATCCTCACCGGGGCGATGAGATGCTATGCTCACAGCAGACCCCTTGCTAATGTGGTACAGCTCGAATTTCAGAACAGAATTTTCCTTTCCACTAACTCCTATTTCTTTTCCTTTTAATTTCCCAATCAAAAATGACCAAGAGGGCTTCCCTGGTGGCGCAGTGGTTGGGAGTCCACCTGCCGATGCAGGGGACGCGGGTTCGTGCCCCGGTCCGGGAGGATCCCACGTGCCGCGGGGCGGCTGGGCCCATGAGCCGTGGCCGCTGGGCCTGCACGTCCGGAGCCTGTGCTCCGCAGCAGGAGAGGCCGCAGCAGTGAGAGGCCCGCGTACCGCAAGGGGAAAAAAAAAAAAGACCAAGAACTTTCCAAGGAGCCCTGGTAGTGCCAGGAAAGATGCCAGCCACCTCCTGTAAGCTAGGCTTCGGGGTGGCTCAGATAGGTCTCCCCGAGCGCCGGGGGTGGGAGAGGTGAGCCTGGAATGTTCCAGCAGTTGGGGGCCTCCCCCTGGAATGAGATGGTTTATCGTTTTGTTGGTTTCAGGGACCCAATGCAGCAGAGAGGAACTGACAGGCAAACAAAGCCCCAGTGTCTCTTTGGCTCATTCCAAAAGAAAAGAGTGAAAGCAAATTTAAACCACGAAGCACCCTGGGGCGGAGCAAAGAGGCTCTGAGAGCACGCAGTCTGGCTGGGACGCCAGGCCTGGGCTCCGCTAGGCTCAGTGACAGTAAGCTTCATAGAGGACTTTACACAACACTCTGGGCACGTGCCCAAGTCTGACGAAACCCTGGGGGTGAGCAAGGCAGCTACGTGCACCCCTTTTACATTCCGGGACAGGCACACAGGGCACCCAAATTAGAGGTACTGCTCACAGGACACAGCAGGAGCCAGGGTTCCTGAGGCCCAGGGCTCCTCCCACCACCGCCCGATGGGCAGGAACCAGGAAAGGACGGGGGCAAGTGACCACAGGAACATACACATCATGACATGTGATACCTTACCCGTGATTATTCTCTGGCTGAGGCATCCCTGTCTTAAATGATACAGATAGAAGAATCTAAGAATCCACCCTCCCCCTTTCAAGTCGCTTAAGACAGGGGACTTCACGAGTTACTTATTTGCTATACAATTCAGAATATTACTTAACTGACTCTCCCTGCTAGCCATGCACCTGCATCTCTATCTATACGCATGCACGTGTGTTCATATGGGCTGTACAAACCAAGTATGAAAGGACCACGTAAGCAGACCCCGTCCTCTAGAGCTGTAGGCTGAACGCACACGTGGACAGTTACGATGCTGGCAGGAAAACTAGCAAGTACATACCCCACATTCAGAGAGGACAGAGTAGCGACTGGAGACTGACTGACTGACGGACGGCCTGGCCCCACCGTGCTCTCAGCACCCAGGAGACCAGTATCCTTGGTCACTGCCTTCCCTGCTTTATAAAAAAGCCTGTCTTTTTTTTTTAATGCCAAGTAATACTGTTTTTCTTCTTTCTTTTTTTATATTCCTGCAGATTAAGGGTTCCTATATTCTTTGATTTCATATATAGCAGACTTCTATGTCTGTAAATGAATGTGTGTACAGTATATATATAAAAAATGTGATATAATCTTTACAAATATAATCTAATCACCTGGATATATTTTTTTTTTTTTGCGGTACGCGGACCTCTCACTGTTGCGGCCTCTCCCGTTGTGGGGCACAGGCTCCGGACGCGCAGGCTCAGCGGCCATGGCTCACGGGCCCAGCTGCTCCGCGGCATGTGGGATCTTCCCGGACCGGGGCACGAACCCGCGTCCCCTGCATCGGCAGGCGGACTCCCAACCACTGCGCCACCAGGGAAGCCCCATCACCTGGATTTTTAATAAATGTGTAAATACACATATCATTTAAAAGGACCTTTCCACGAATGGAAAGATATACCATGCTCATGGACTGGAAGAATGAATATTGTTAAAATGACCATACTACCCAAGGCAATCTACAGATTCCATGCAATCCAAGCAAAATACCAATGGCATTTTTCACAGAAATAGGACACTCCTACAATTTGTATGGAACAAAAGACCCCAAATAGCCAAAGCCATCTTGAGAAAGAAGAACAAAGCTGGAGGCATAACACTCCCTGACTTCAGACTGTATCTCAAAGCTACAGTAAACAAAAGTTAGTACTGGCACAAAAACAGACACAAAGATCAACAGAACGGAATAGAGAGCCCAGAAAAAAATCCATGCAAAAGTGGTCAACAAAGGAGCCAAGGATATACCATGGGGAAAGGACAGTCTCTACAAGTGATACTGGGAAAACTGGACAGTCATATACAAAACAATGAAACTGTATCTACACCATACACAAAAATCAACTCAAAATGGATTAAAGACTTGAACATAAGAGCAGAAAAAATAAAACTACTAGAAAAAAACATAGGCAGTAAGCTCCTTGACATCAGTCTTGGCAATGACTTTTTTGGATTTGACACCCAAAGCACAGGCAGCAAAGGCAAAAATAAACAAGTGAGAATACAGCAAACTAAAATGCTTCTGCAGATTAAAAGATATAAACTACTGTGTATAAAAAAAATAAGCTACACAGATATATTGTACAACACAGGGAATAAAGCCAATATTTTATAACAACTATAAAAACTATAAATGGAATATAACTTTTAAAACTGTGACTCATTGTGCTGTATACCTGTAACATATACTATTGTACATCAACTATACCGAAAAAAAAGGGAAAAAAAAGCTTCTGCACAGCAAAGGAAACCATCAACAAAATGAAAAGGTAACCTACTGAATGGCAGAAATCATTTGCAAATCATGTATCTGACAAGGGGTTAATATTCAAAATATATAAATAACTCATACAACTCAATAGCAAAAAAACAAAACAATCTGATTAAAAAATGGGCAGAAGATCTGAATAGACATGTTTCCAAAGAACACATACAGATGGCCAACAGGGACATGAAAAGGTGCTCAACATCACTAATCATCAGGGAAATGCAAATCAAAACCACAATGAGATATCCCCTCGTAACTGTCAGAATGGCCATCATCAAAAAGCAAGAAATAACAAATGTTGGAGAGGGTGTGGAGAAAAGGGAACCTTTATGCACCGTTGGTGGGAACGTAAATTGGTGCAGCCACTCTGAAAAATAGCATGGAGGCTCTTAAAAGTTAAAAACAGAACTACTATATGATCCAGTAATTCCACTTCTGGGTATTTATCAGAAAAAAATAAAAAGACTATCTCGAGGAGATCTGCACCCCTATGTTCACTGCAGCACTATTTACTACAGCCAAGACACGCAAACAACCTAAGTGTAAGTGTCCACCGATGAGTGCAATGGATAAAGAAACTGTTACACACACACACATACATACACACACACAATGGAATATCATTCAGCCGTAAAAAAGAATGAAATCTCATCATTTGTGACAACATGGATTGAGGGCATGACGCTAAGTGAAATAAATCAGGGGAAGACAAATGACATATGATTTCACTTCTATGTGGAATCTTAAAACAAAACAAAACAAAAACAAAAACAAACTGATAGACACAGAGAACAGATTGGTGGTTGCCAGAGGCGGGGTAGGAGGTGGGCCAAATGGGTCAAAGGGTTCAGAAGGTAAAAATTTCCAGTTACAAAATAAATAAGTCATGGGGAATGTTCCTGTAAAACACCAACCAAATGTAAAGAAGGCTGGCAAGTGCGCCACCCCTTTGGTCAGGAGGGCCATCCTCAGAGGTGTGACAGTCAGTACCTGCAAGTCTGCAAGCTCCATGGTGGTCTTTCCTTCGAGGCACAGGGCCTGCGCAATGAAGGCATGCAGATCCTCCAGACAGAGGGTGTCCACCTGCGTGGGAGACACAGCCAGCGTCAGCCCCAGGAAAACCAGCTCTGACCAAATATAGGCATGGGACACATGCATGTGCACATACACACATACACTCGTACACACACACACACACACACACACACACGCAGCAGAACAGACGCCAGTGGAGGTGAGCAGGGTGTTTTCTCCCACCACCCACAGTCCCTGGTGTGAAAATCTCCATGACACCTAGGGCCAAGCTGGACAGGGGAGCCTATTACTCACTCGCGAGGCAGAACGCTCCAGAGCGCCTGGGGAAAGCCTGAGCTGTGACTAAGTCTAAGTCTTGGAGAAACACAGGTCATCAAGTTTTGACACAAATTTCCAGAACTGACAATTCAGGGGTTTGCAGACAGAGAGCACCCACAGCTGGCCTGAGCCAGAGTGATCAGAGCTGGGATAAACACCCACCCTTGCCAGTCCCAGACATCAACTGTGTCCTCAGATCCCAGTTTAAAGGAAACCAGGATTCCCCACATATGAGTCCCCTCCCATCCTTTGTGGAATCAAAGAGCCTAACCAAAGTGTGAGTGAGAAGCAAGGAGAGACAGAGATATGGCGAAAGAGACGGACCCTGGAAAGGAGGAGGGGATGGAGATCAAAGACGGCGCCAGGCCCGGCCGTCGGCAACACCTCTGCACCCTCCTCACAGGGTCACGAGGCTCAGCCACCAAATGCCACACTGCTCCCGTCACTATCCATTTCCATGTTTACTCCAAAATAGTTGTTGCCTTTGTATAAATGACAGCTGTAATTATTTCAGGGAAAACCCAAGAAATCTACAAACGTGCAGCACTCGTGACCAAGAAAAAAGATCCCAATCCACAGAAGCAAGACCAAGCAGAAAGTTGTTTTTTTTTTAAACCCATAAACCCTCACCTCTCTCTGCTTAGACAGGTTTGTTGGCATACAGCAACTTTTGCAGAAGGCTGATTTTAAAAGACACTACCTATGAGAAAGGAATAACTCTTTCATGTCCTATTTTTTTCAGTTAACCTATTTCATACTCTGCCACCACCTTTGTAATTAACAAATCTATAACATATCAGAGGAGGCAAGTCTTAGTAATACCAATCTTTTAGAATTTTGAATAATGGATATTATTATGATAAAATATTTGCTCCAGTATAGATTATAAAAATATGTAAACTTTCTATGATGCAAACTTACACTCCCAGGAAAGCTTCCCAGATAAGCCTCTGATAAAAAATGCTGCTCACCTGGAGGTACGAATCCAAGTGAACAAAAGAGAGGGTTTTGTTTCTCTACGGGTTCTGTACACTGAACAGCACGCAGTTAACCCGTGCGGCACATCAAAACATCTAATTTAAGCTTAACTATATAAAAGTACAGTATTTTTTAAAAACTACCTTTTTAGTCTTATTAATCCTGAGAGAACAGTTATCCCCGTGAATAATAACACAGTACAGTACCTTTTGATCTGAGGGACAACGCTGATGTGTCGATTTGTTTTCTAGTTTTAAAAAGTTCCAATTTGAATGTGTCCTTGCAAGTCAAACCAACACTGAGTCTCTCCCATGCTGACTGACTTACACTAAAGAGATGTTCACTGAAAAGGCAGTTACTAGTGTAAAGAAGGTAAAAGTAGAAGTCTTCCTGATGCTTGTCTTGCTTCAGGGTTATACAAATATGAGATGTAAAGTGACTGTTCTGTGATTTGGAATTCTTTTCCTGTTGGAAGTGGATTTTCATAACTAACGATCACTTACTTGCACAGCTGACAAGAAAGCAGAGCTGTATCGGGTGACTGTGAATGGGTTCAAGGACCTATCTCTACTGCTGGAAAAAATAATGCAAAACGTAGTCCTAGGAGCGCTAACACATGGCATCACTATCCATACGTTCACCAGGAGTACTGAGAAGAAAACCACTGATCTTTCTGGAGGAGAAAACTCAGCTATTGGTCATCTACCACTTCCCAATTCCCTCTATGGGTCCACCTCAGCCACCTGTAGATTCATAAACAATGAACAGAAAATATTAACTGATAATACATGCATGTACATTTAGTAAAAATGTAAAAAGAAATATATTTTTACATTTAAATACTAAATAATCCTGCCATCATTTATTGATTTACACTTTGCTGAGTCTGGTGCAAATAAAGGAAAGTTCTACTCAAAACTAAAGTTGATACTGGTGCATGTGAAACCAATAAAGAAGCAATAAAATCTCTAAGGGTGATTTAACTATATATACCACGTTTGTACAAAATGCAAAATACAGGACTAGCTATAAAATGGCAGAGGACTTTTAGAAAGGAAAAATCAGTGTATGATTCCCCTGAAATGTAATTCTACCATAAGTTTCTTAAAGACAATGAATTCAGGTTTGAAAAACAGAAACATAATTTTCTATTCCAGAGAAATGAAAACTTGATAGTTATGGCAAAGCGGACGCAGACCTATCACCTACGGAGACCAGAGGGAGGGGACAGCTGCTGGGGATCAGGAAAGCTGGTGAGAAGGTCTACATGGCTAAAGAAACAGACACTTGATGGCAAAGGACTTTTACAAACAGTTCAGCTGGGGAAGGGAAACCGGAGACGGAAGGTATTTAAGCCCTTCTTTTGTTGAGGCGTCCCAACGTTAGGCGAATGTTTTCAGTGGCCCTTGTAAGCTCCCTGCATAAACTAACGAACCGCAGAAACGAGGACCTGGCGGCACCTCCCCGCGCGTGGCCCAGCTGCATGGGTGGGGGTGGCTGACCATGACAACCACCCTGGTGGGCTTTTCTCTGGGCACCTGTGCAGGACACTTCTCGCCTTCTACAGAATGCCTGGCCAGTAGCCTCAGGAAGAAGGTGTGCCCCCGTTCGCAGGCTGAAAAGCGAACATTTGTTCGGTGACTTAGGAAAGCTGAAGCAGTCTCCCTTGGTAGCTCTGTGCTTCTGGGAAGAGCTGTGACTCTAGCCGGGTCAGCCGGACTGCAGCGCTGGACCTTCTCACCATGACATGAAACCCCACCAACAGGAACCACCACCCACGTAGGGACACAGAACAGTCCAGAGCCCAAAAAGCTCAGCAAGCGTGAGCAAAGTGCAACAGGGCTCCTGCACGGGTCAGACGCCTCAAGCCTCTATCACACTTAGGTGCAGCGCCCACCTCTAAGTCCGGCAGCAGACGGGGCTTCTCAAATGTACGCCCACACAGAACCCTCACTTGAGTCCGAGCATTTCGAAGGACTAGAATTTACGGAACAGACACTGGGCAGAGATGGTGCAGGGGACCAACCCATGGCTACATCCCAGAGCACCACACCCCACGAAAGGCGAGGGCCAGGAGTGAGGGGTGACAGCAGCAGCTTCGACAGGAAAGGAGATTACCTGCACAAAGAGGTAGATCAGGAGGCAGCACAACGCTTGAAAGGGGCTCTCGACCACCTGCAGTTCTTCTCGCGAGGAGGAAAGGTCAAAACAGGCCAGGAGTGTGTCCAAGCGCTGGGCCTGTAGTCCTGCCTCTTGGCTCAGCCACAGTAGCTTCAAACTAGGCGTTCCCCCTAGTTAGAGGAAAGTCCATTTACCATTATTCTTTGCACTAGCAGGTTATAACACGCGTCTGCAGAAATACAATAAAGGAATAAAGGGCACTAACCTCTTCCCTTCCCGATATCCGTGGGCTTTAAAGTGTAAAGCAACTGGAAATAAACATGAACAGAACTTCCTGGTTTAAACAAGCAGAAACCCTAAAAGGTCAGCATATATGTATTTCACTGAAACCAGTCTTCTTTTTTTAAATGGCTACATTGTGGGGGAAGAGGGCTTTTTCCTACCGGTGTTGCTCACTGTACTGTCTTAGGGCATGAGACACAGCACAGCTGCGACGTGGCGCTTGGCGGAAACACCACCAATTTGCTGTTAGTTTGCTGTTATTTCCCCAGACTAGTGGTTTTCAAACTTCAGTGTGCAAAAGAACCAGCTGCCAAAATTGTAAAAAATACATTTCCTGGGGTCTGTATGCAGAAATTCTGCTTTGCTAGGTAAAGTACCTGGGAGTCTGCACTGAACAAACTAGAGACTGGGATAAGCAGGGCACCTGTGAGCCCCATGCTTTGGAAAGCACATCCCTAGAACTATTAAACAGAAATTCCTAAAATATTAAAATTCTACTAAATTTGTGTTTTATTCCTACATTTCATATATATGTTTAAATTAAAATCAAAGAAAAGAAAAACTTCTCACTCATTTACCCAAGTCACCATCAATGGCAGCACGAGTCTGGAGGAAGACACAGCAGCCCTGCTCCTTCTGCCCAGAGGGGCCAGGCCTGGGCTGGGCCAGGTCCTGCCAAGAGCAGCAGCTGTGACTTTCTGTAGGTCCCGTGGCTGTAAGGCATCCTCAAGTGCAAGGACGGCTGGACCTAATCATCCCACAACTTCACTAAGAAAACAAAACTCACTAACCAAATGGTATCAGAATTAAGTGACTCAAAAAAGGAAGTTCTTCCCCTTTTCTGTTTATGCTTCTCACAATGCCATTCAATATTCTCAGGTGTGTATTTCCCACCATCAGAAGTGAAACAGCCCAGCAAAAGTCACTTGCATTTCTGATATAGCTGAAGTGTTCCCTCCTCCCCAAAATACTTTTTCATTATTTATTAAATCATCTTTTCCCTTGGAAGAAAGAAAATGAAGGTAATTTTGTTTTGGCAAAAAAAAAAAAAAAACAACGGCACTAGTTTTTAAGATGGAAATATTATTCCAAGAGAATCACAGGGTCAGCTATTCCTTCTTAGAAACACGCTTTTCCGGAAAACAATCATCTTGCAGGGGTCTGCAAATAGCAGCCTGTGGGCAAAATCCAGCTCATTGTCTGTTTTTGTACAACCCATAAACTATTAATGACTTTCACATTTTTTAAATAGTTGAAAATAGCAAAGTAAAAATATTTCACAATATGAGAAAATTGTGTAACTCTGCCAGAAAAGATCAAGGGTAGCCCTTACACTTTACCCAGAGTTCCATGGGCAGCTGAGATGTTCCAAAGAACAATCCAGAGATCTAAGCAGGTGATCTGGTCTGTAGGTCACCAACTACAATACATTGCCTCTGAAACACATCAGCTTCAAAAACCAAATTCTGTCACCTGGCAAAGGTTTTTGCCTGAAACCGTGGACAGACAGGAAAGTCTCAAGGCTTTTCGGAGCAACCGAGCCCTGGAGGGGCACGCAGAGGGACAAGGAAAGTGGTCATTTCTGTGAATGACAACTTGGAAGACTGTCTGAGATGCCTGGGAGGACCCACCCCAGGGTGGAGGCTGCTGGATGCCTCACTAGTAACAAAGCAATGGTCCGGTGTGTGCTTTTATAGCTATAAATGCACGAGTGAATGAATACACTCCTACACTCTAAGCCATGGCATTTCTGTGTGCTTTCTATACGGAAATAATGTAATCGTTGGGTTTTAGTTATCCTATGATTATTTTCCTTGCATATTCCTAGGGTAAGAAACCATAAAACTGTCTGGTTTGTGTGCACTCTGAGAACGAGAGAGGTGACACTTCCAGAAATTAACCTGCATACACTGTGTGTCTCAAGTTTACTTGTGAAGGTTTTAATTCATAAGTCTGATTTAAATGAATATTTATTTAGCATTCTGTTTGAAAGAGCACCCCTGGCGAAAAAAAGACAAAATAAAAAACGCTGACTACTCACATGCAAACTGAATCTTTATTCTGGTTGGATAAATTTCAGTAGCTTATGTACAATAAGTAAACAAATTCATTCAGATATAAATGGACTAGAATGAGTTGGCATCGCAACGTGTTAAACCCTAAACTCCCACGGATGAGACCCTTTCACGCTTTGCGAAATGACGGCGTACACTGTTTCTACCTAATGTATTCAGAATCTAGTGAATTAGGTAGAAAAAGCAGCCACTGGCTTGTGACTCACGTGTGTATTTGTAACATTCAGTTGGCAAAGCTTCCAATCATCTTTACAAATGGAAGAAAAACATGACTGAGGTTTTAAATCCATTTATTCTAATCCACAGCAACAGGGAGGTGGCTTCAGAGGCTGGGGCCCTGACAGCATCTCCTCACGAGGAGCACATGCTCTCACCCACAGAGCAGGTTGGTGACCTCCAGTTACCACCCACAGAAGCCTCCAAGATGTGACAACACTTGTTTCACCTGTATTAACAAGTGTCAAGATGGAAACCTTCAACAGTACATGTTAAGAGGAGCTGAAACAAGAAAACTTCACTACAGTTGTTTATCAAATGATGGAAGGAGTCAAATATAGCCCCTTCTTGTCATAAAATATACCGCTCCACCTCATTTCATTTTATAAAATAGTCTTCTAAGATGACCTGCAAGATTCTAGTGAGTCAAACATCTTTACATAGCCAAGAAATACTAAGTTTACTCACTGATTCTTGAACAACACTTTAAAAAAATCATTCTACTGGGTTGGCCAAAAAGTGCCCTCAGTTTTTAAGTAAAAATAAAAGACACATTGTTCATTTTCACCAAGAACTTTATGGAACAATGTATTCACCCTTTTGTTCCACTACCTTCTGCCATCTTTCAGGCAACTTCATAATTCCATCTTCCCCAAACTTTTTATCTTTTTGACCAAAGAATTGTTCCAGGTGCCTTTCACAGTCTTCCAGGGAATGGAAATTTTTTCCATTAAGAGAATTTTGTAAAGACCAAAATAAATGGAAATCCAAAGGTACAATGTCTGGTGAATACAGAGGATGAATCAGAACTTCCCAGCCAAGCTGTAACAGTTTTTGCCTGGTCATCAAAGAAACATGTGGTCTTGCATCATCCTGATGAAAGATTATGCATTTTCTGTTGACTAATTCTAGATGCTTTTCATCGAGTGCTGCTTTCAGTTGGTTTAATTGGGAACAGTACTGGTTGGAATTAATCGTTTGGTTTTCCGGAAGGAGCTCATAATAGAGGACTTCCTTCCAATCCCACCATATACACAACATCACCTTCTTTGGTTGAAGACCGGCCTCTGGTATGGTTGGTGGTGGTTCATTTCGCTTGCCCCACGATCTCTTCCGTTCCACATTATTGTACAGTAACCACTTTTCATCACCTGTCACAATCTGTTCTAAAAACGGAACGTTTTCATTACATTTCAGTAGAGAATTACATGTGGAAATACGGTCAAGAAGGATTTTTTCGCTTAACTTACGTGGAACCCAAACATCCACATAACCAGCTGGTGCAAATGATTTTCAGCTCTTGAGTTGGATACTTTGAGCATGTCGGCTGTCTCCTGCATGGAATAACGCTGATTGTTCCCAGTTAATGTCTCGATTTTGTGGCTACCAACTTCAACTGGTTTACCCGACCGTGGAGCATCATCCAGTGAGAAATCTCCAGCATGAAACTTCGCAAACCACTTTTGACACATTCGATCAGTCACAGCACCTTTTCCATACGCTGCACAAATCTTTTTTTGCATTTCGGTTACATTTTTACCTATCTTGAAATAATAAAGCAAAATATGCCAAAAATGTTGCTTTTTTTCTTCCATCTTCAATGTTAAAATGGCTACACAAAAATTCACCAATTTTGGTAAGTCTTTTATTAAACGCATGCTGATATGACAGCTGTCACATACAATCTAACAAAACTGTTTTGAATGAAGTTAAAGATAACTAAGTGCTACTAGAGCCACCTTACGGAAAAAACGAATGAACTTTTGGCCACCCCAACAGACAGACAAATTACCAATTAGATACGTGCAATCAGCTTTCCTAGGTTGGTAAAATAAGGATATGCTTATTATGACTAAAAAATGGCTCTGTGAAGAAAAAAGGAAATCATCTACACTTTGTCTAAAGAAGAATCTCCAGTCCTAGAGCTAGAAAGCTATTTCAAATGCTTGCCTGTTAAGCGGTCCAAGACTCACACCACAAAATGCAGAACATCCGTAAGTGAAGTGTGATGAATGACCAAACACACATGGACGCAAGGATCCTGTAAGGATCGTCTGGGGAAAGGAAGCTAAATTTCAAGGTACACCCTTCTTGTGTTACCAGGAACATCATCTTTCATGACACATTGTAAGATAAACAGAATGTAATATCTATACAATTATAAACGTAATATAGCTAGTACATCTGGATGTGTGTATATGTACACACACATAAAGATGGGGATGTGGATGGAATATATGCATGTAAATGAGCTCCCTGAATAAAATATACCAGTAATGAAATTAATTTTTCTGCTCCCTGGCTGGTCATTTATAATTCTTTCCCCTTTTGAATTCTTACCTAATTTTTAGGTAATCTTTATAATTTTTCTGCTCCCCTTCTGTCTCCTTTCCACTTTGTTAAAAAACATCTGATTTATTTTTTATTTCCACCATTTAAGAAAGCAAGTGTTAAATCATGTGTGCTGTTAGAGGAAAGTCTTTTTTTCTACATTGGCCACTACATGGGGAGACTCACTGAAAATGTAACATCCACGATATCAACCTAATGGGACCATCTCAGGAGAACAAGAAGGATCAGACACGGTCTCCCCTAAAGCAACAGCTCTAGCAGTGCCGCTGGCCTGGCTGGAAAGGATGGCTTTAATCAGGCAGCAAGGACACCCTGCACCTGTGCACAAGGGGCCTGCCAAGGTGAGGATCAAGCAGCAGGAGTCCACTGGTTTTCATCCCACATGTCAGGGTGAGGATGTAAAACACCTGAGACAGGAATTGGATAGTCCATTTTCCAATTTAGTCTAAAACCACCTGGCATTTTTCCTCATGGATATAGAAAGCTATTTATATATAAAAATCTTGTCATCTTGTATCATTATTAACATAAGCATGAACAGAGTCAATCATCTAAACCACCTGCAACAAAAGTTCAAGATCCCATTTCCAGTTTCCTAGTGATGGCAGACGTGCCAGCTCCTTCTGGAAGCAGAGCCCCAACTGCAGTCTGGGTGTGCCACACGCACAAACCTGTGGTTCACAGACCCAGAAGCAGTCTCTCTGATAAATGAATGACTTCTAGAGCTTATTAAAACCTTATATGGAGTGGTCTCTAAAATTAACTCATAATAATGAATAACCAAATATTCTCCATAATTCAAATGAGGAAAAGAACTATCATAATCACTTTCCACATTATTTTTGGAAAGATCCTATAAAATGAAAATTACATATACAGCAGAACATTTCTGGGAAACGGTTTTGGCTATCCTTTAAAAATACTTCTTGCTGTAAAACCAAATGTCAATTCATCTTAATTTGTTTTTGTGATAAGCACCTTTTTAGGTTTGAGTATATCACTCACCAACTGAGAGAGTAAGGAAATATTCCTTCAACTTCTCTCCCTATACAATTCCACTTATAAGAAAAATGTTTTGCAGTGTTCAAATCCTTATTTGGTAAATTATAGGCTTGAGTGATAGAAAACAATAGTGACTTGAGAGAATTTAATACATACAAAAACGGAATATAAACGTTTTAGAAAAGTATTTGTTTTCCAAAACAATAACGAGGGGCCACTAAAATAAACCCTGAACCCCCTCTTCTTCAGCTGTCTGTAAGTAAAACACTATCTCCTACAAACATGCTCGACCTTTTTCTGATACTAACAACTCACAGGAAGGAAGGATTTACTTCAACTAATTTTTAGGAGAACTTTGCTTTTTCCTCCCCTCCCATTATGTGTTTTAAGATACCTCCCTTGAAAAAACATTTTTTCCAGTTAAGATAACTTTCCTTCGCATCCCCTCCCCAGTTCCTCAAGCCCACCTTCAGTGGTGGTAACAAGACGAGAACTGACTCAGAGTAGCAAGAACCCAGCCTTGTTAGTTGGGTGGGTTTCACTGAGTGACGGCCAGACGTCAGGTCCTGGGGCCTGACCCATGATGACCTTTCTTCCCTCCCCCCCCCCCCCCCCGCCCCCGCATGCACCTTGAGCAGTGGGAGGGGAACAAGGCAGGACGATTCGGCAGACTGGCCCCGGGAAAATTGGTATAATGCCCTTTCCTCAGTTGTTTTGGAACTTTATTAGATACATTGCTCTGGGACCCACGGTAGAAATGAAAATTAGTACGTGTACAGTTCTGGAAAAGTATGTTTCCACAGAGATCAGTACTGGACTTGCATCACATGGTGAACATATCAGTGATTTATTTCAATCAGGGCTGTCTGTACCTGGAATGCTCATCTGCAGAGGCCTGACGAGGTCCGGCTGCCTCAGTGGGTTCCCAGAGTACACAAACCACTCCTTGACAGTGGGGCAGGTGCTGGCACCACCTGAGTAAAGACAGCTGTGTCAGTGGACATGCGTGAGTGCCAATTCATCACCAGGCTAACGCTGCACCAGACCCACATCGGCCAGGACCAACTCCACGCTGGTGAGTATAGTGAGTTCTCACATCCAAGGTCACTGAGAGGCCTTGGGCTTCCAGCAGTGGGTCCCCTACCCTCTGATCTGACGGCCATCCGTTCACTCCAACAAGAATGATAACCTTGTGGGGGGGATGGCAGGATCACCTGGGTAAGCGATTACCAGGCAGAGAGGGAGATGACTCCTGCAGCATTCTGCCTTCCTTCCTTCCCACCTTCCCACCATTCCAGAAAACATTTACAGAGAACTGGAAGAACAGGACAGTCCTTTCTGTTCTTAAATTCACTACTTTACGCAACTATCAAGACTACTGTTAGGTCAGACAATTCAGAAAGCTGATAGAAATAATCTAGAATTAAAGGCCTTTCTGTCTGTTGCTGGATTATTAATTGCTACAGAAGTTCAGCTGGCTTCCATTCCTGTACCGTGCTCAGCAATACCGTGCTCAGCAAAGCGGAGGTGGCGGAAGCCTGTCCTACTCAGCATTCTCACTCAGCCTCTCCAAGCCATCGGCGTCTGGTTCCCCTGTGGCCTCCAGACCCTGCACCCCGCCCCCCCCCAGGGCCCTCACCACACCAGCCCTGGCCTGGGGCCCACAAGGGCAACTCCTGGCCTCCTCCCTTCACGCCGGCACTGCCCTGTTGAGAGCAGCCTCCTCTTCAGCCTCACCCCCTTTCAAGCCATTCTCCACGTCAACGGGGCTTTTGGGATTTTGCTTTTTTAAAAATGAAAATCTGACCAGGTCGGTCACTCTTTCTAATTAAGATCCCCCAATAGCTGCCCAGGGACCAGAACAAAGTGCGGACCTCAGAGCCCAGCAATCGCCCGGGGGGGGGGGGGGGGGGGGGTGACCGGTTCCCGGGTGGCTGATGCTGCTGGTCTGGGGACCCTGGAGAACCACAGCTCCAGCTCACATGCCGTGTTCCACTCAGCTGCAAATCCCCAGGCTCACCTTGTCTTTTTATAAATGTATTTATTTATTTATTTTTGCCTGCGTTGGGTCCTTGTTGCTGCACGCGGGCTTTTCTCTAGTTGCCGCGAGCGGGGGCTACTTTTCGTTGCGGTGCGCAGGCTTCTCATTGCGGTGGCTTCTCTTGTTGCAGAGCACGGGCTCCAGGCACACGGGCCTCAGTAGCTGTGGCACGTGGGCTCAGTAGTTGTGGCTCGCAGCTCCAGAGCGCAGGCTCAGCAGTCGCGGCGCACGGGCTCTAGTTGCTCCACGGCATGTGGGATCTTCCCTGACCGGGGCTCGAACCCGTGTCCCCTGCATTGGCAGGCGGATTCTCAACCACTGCGCCACCAGGGAAGCCCTCACCTTGTCTTTTCTTATCTCTGCATCCCCCCCCCGCAGAGGCCCACTTCCCTTGACGGGCACTTGGTGAACTCCCCCTTTCCCTCACTCTCAGCTTAGGCATCAGTCCCTCTAGTGCAGGGCCAGCGCCTCCCCCTGCACCCCCCAGCACCCCATGCGTCCCTCCCCTAGTTCTCTGGCCAGAGTGCCGCATATGCCTGCATATTTCCCGCGGCTGCCCACCCTAACTGTGAGCTCCCCAAAGCAAGAACCGTGTCTTCTTCATATAAAACAAGGCCCAGAGCAAATATTCATTAACTGTTAAGTTTAATGAGCAAATTCATCTTAGTCTAAATTTCACACATACCAAAAAATTTTTAAAAAGAAAGAAAATCTGAGAAGTATTCTTGATGTTATTAAAAACAAAGCAATCCACTTTCTATATAAACCTCTTGGCCTAGGTTTCCATTACATTAAAAAACAGCCAGGGCTTCCCAGGTGGCGCAGTGGTTGAGAGTCCGCCTGCTGATGCAGGGGACACAGGTTCGTGCCCCGGTCCGGGAGGATCCCACATGCCACGGAGCAGCTGGGCCCGTGAGCCATGGCCGCTGAGCCTGCGCGTCCGGAGCCTGTGCTCCGCAACGGGAGAGGCCACAGCAGTGAGAGGCCCGCGTACTGCAAAAAAAACAAAACAAAACAGCCAACTGAGTGAATACTGTCCTACTCATGCCAAGAGACAAACCTTAGTAGGTTTAGTAAGTTACACTCAACCGCTGACATTAATGCACCTAGCCTGCCAACTGACACCTTGGGAATCACTAAAACATTCACAAAACCACACTTCACACCGCGTGCAAGTGACCATCTTTCATCTAAAACTGTTCACAGCACAGAGGTTCAGAGTTGACATCTCAAAGTTTAAATTCTAAATAACACACAAAGAAAGTAAAGATAGGTTCACATTGGGCACTGGTATCCTTTATTTAAAAACACCTGATAGGGGCTTCCCTGGTGGCGCAGTGGTTAAGATTCCGCCTGCCAATGCTAGGGGACACAGGTTGGAGCCCCGGTCCAGGAAGATCCCACATGTCGCGGAGCAACTAAGCCCATGCGCCACAACTACTAAGCCCGCGTGCCTAGAGCCCATGCTCCGCAACAAGAGAAGCCACCACAATGAGAAGCCCGCGCACCGCAATGAAGAGCAGGCCCCCACACACCGCAGCTAGAGAAAGCCCGTGCGCAGCAACTAAGACCCAATGCAGGCAAAAAATAAATAAATGAATAAAAATTAAAGAAATAAAATAAAATAAAAACACCTGACAGACCTTCTGTTATTTCCTTTCTTGTTAAGAGCCAGGGAAGTCATCTTTTGGACAAATATTCCAAGAGAAAGGCCACACAGCATCAGTCGTTAAGCTGCAATCCAGGAGGAAACAGCTGCCCATCGAGAGAGCCCAATAGGAGCTGTGAGCCCACCTCTGCGTCAGGCCCGGCAGAGAAACAGGCCTAAGGCCAGCACCAACAGCAAGATCTCTCTTCCCTCAAAATCTAGACCATCACTGATGCCCAATCCCCTCTTTCCTCATTATTTAGACAAGCACTGACACCAAATTCCCTCTTTTCTCCAAAATTTAGACCACTGAGGGTTAAGTGGATATTAATTACAAAGTATTTCTTAATTAACAAAAGAAGGGAAGCTTTTGCTTTTGCAATAAAATGGTTAACTGACATCTGATGAGTTTAACTGACTAGGTCTCAGAACAACAAACTATGTTGCTTAAAATGCAGTACTTACAGCTATCTACTTATAGAGCCTTGAACAGGAAACTCTTAATTTTCAAATAAAATTAACTAGCCAGAGGATAAAAGTTCAATTAGAACTGCTGATCTGAAGTTTCATTCCCTAAACAACATTTTATAAATTGTGGGGAAGGATACAGGAAAAGAGGGATAAAAACAAGCATCTTCTCCGAAGTGGAGGGCAGGTGCCTGCAGGTGCTTCTGCGTCCTGCCCTCACCTGGTGAGCTGCCCGGTGACAGAGACCCTCAATACGCCTTCGTTTCCTCCTTCTGCCCGAAGAGGGTAAAAAGGCAGTGCAGAGCAGCTAGAAAATGCTATCAACATGGCAGAGTAAAGTCTGTAGTCTGGATAAGGTCTCTGTCCAGACCTAAACATTCATTTGGAAGCATTTTCACTGTTAATTCAGACTATGCCTACCACAGACACAGCTACAGCTCCCCACTCCTTCTAAAAGCCACAGCCGGATGCAAAGTGTTACCTGAAATCTTCTTAAAATAAAAATAAATGCATTTTGCTTGAAAATCCTATAGTTTAGCACATTCTCTGGGGTACCACATAATTTCAGAGGTTTTAATCTGGTATGCACTTTGAAACAACAGCAGAAATGTTTGCAATAATTTGGTGTGTCTGAATTAAAATAATCTTCTTAAATACCTACACATCAAGAAAAAGAGAAGAGGAAATAGAGTTTGGTAATTCCTAAAAGAAAAGGTTGATTTTCTCATTTGAACTTTCAATTTGCTAGGCTCTGAGTTCAAAAGAGCAAAGTAAGAACTCAAGTAAAATTTCTTTGCTAGTTTTGCTCTCTATTCACGCTGTAACATTTTATACGGAAAAAAGTAGCATAATCAAACTTGTTCTTCTGCTATTCCCAAAGGACAGACACATTACACGCTTTATAAAAGCTTCTAGTATAACGAAGACACTTTCCCCTGGGAGCAAAACTGTGCAACTGTCTACACGTCCAACCGCTCTCCCATAAAAACTCTTGATTATGCCAACACACACTCCCAGCAGTGCCCACTCCTCTCACACAACCTGGAGGGTCTGTGAGCACTGGGAGGGGAAAGAGAACGAGCAGAAGCAATGTCAACTTTAACCGCTCAAGTACTGGACTTTCAAGTTTGATAACAATCCTCCAGGCTTTAAAAAGTATACATATGTCCTTATGATCCTGTAATATTTTTTATATTGCTGGTTTAATCTGTAATTATGTGTGGCTTTAGTCCTTAAAAAAAGAGAAAAACTCCCCATTCTTTTTTGTATACATTTGAAAAAAAAAGTCACCTTTTAGGTCAACCTCTAGGACTTGGATGAGCTGATGGCCTATAGGCGCTTTGTAAAGGTGCCACACGGATGACATGACTCCCTGACCGCCCATCACAAGACTATCATTCTCCTGCAACTCCCGTGGATTCCCAGAATGTCTGCTAAGTGAAAACGAGGAGAGAATGACAAGGAAAAAGGCGAGCTAACCCTAACCCTAACTGTTAAAGACTGCCACAGGCACGGGCTCTTCTCCAGAGCTGCAAACCAGTGAGACAAGAGGAGAGCAGAACAGAATCTGCCTTCTTGCATCTTTCTGAGTTCCTTCTATTTCCTAAAATATATCAAGTTTTATGGTGATTCAACCTAATCTTATCATTAGGGAGACTAAAAAACAGAGACAGAGTTAAAATCAGTGGTAAGAATGGGTATGAAGCCAAGGATGGGCTGAGGTCTGAGTTGATTTCAGGGTTTCTCCCTACTTTTGGCCATGATGCCATTGAGCTGTCTAAATACCATATATTCAACTATATAAAATACATGTAAGG